ATGAAAATGCAAAAGGCATAAGCCTGACATAGCTGAACATGCGAAAGACAAAAAAATTCCAAACTTTGGTTGGACCACAAACATATATTTTCTCTTTCTTACGAGACCACAGATAAAATCTTACAACTTTTTAAGACAATATAAGGAAATTGTGGCTCCTATATATATATGAACTTTCTTTAAAAAAAAAAACAAAAAAAAATTTGCTAACTTTTTTTGTTAAATCTCAATCGAAGTCTCATATAAAGGGTGTTGTTTTTCACATATTGGGTTATTATTACCTACATATATGTGGGGCTGCATCATGTTTATGGCCTAACCTTAAAAGAAAGAAATAAAAAAATTAAACGACTTATTCCCAGCCAAGATTTGCCTTAACAATTTTCCACCCAAAAGGTTTCAAACTAGTACTTTTCCACCCAAAGTTTATATTACGTTACTACTCAAAGTCGATTCCGATCACGAAATTTCTCTCCGTCACCACCATTTGAACCTCCAGTCTCTTCTCTACAAAACCCCTCTCATTATGGCACTTGATTTTTTCTCGCCGATTGTCAGTCACGACAAAGTTAGGGTTTCTTGTTCTTAGTTGATTTTCGATTGATTCCAACAACGAATATTCAATTGGTCACCACCATCCGATCCACCGGCCTCCATTCTACAAAACCACTCTTACCTTGGCTTCTGGTAACTTGTCATGTAATACCCCGTATTTTTTTTAATGGAGTATTATTAAATTTTATTTTGTGATTCTGGGGTAAAGTGTAATAATTTGAAAGTTTTAGGATAATAGTGAAATAAGTGAGGACTAAATAAAATTTTCAGATATTTTGATGAACAGTGACCGTACAATGAAATGAAAAACGGGGAAGAAGAAGAAGAAGAAAAGAAAAAGAGAGGAAAAGAGAGAAGGAAAAAGGAGAGAAAGAAAAGAGAAAGAAGAAGAAGAGACGGAAAGGAAGAAGAAAAGAAAAAAAAAAGGGAGAGAAAAATGAAACCAAGAATAGAGAGAGAGAGGAGATAAGAGACCGACGGAGGTGGCTAGAAAAGTGGCCGCCGGCGAGCAAAACTCCGGTGATCGGAGAGTGGAGGAAGATCAAGAATATCGGAGATGAGTAAAGGTTAAAATTTCCCTTTTTTTTTTTACGAGTTTTAGTTCATTAGCTTGTGTTGGTTATTATTGAGTGTAATGACATGAGATTGCACTATAATAGGGAGATTGATTTTAATAATTTGGTGTGGGTAGAACATAGAGGTTGTTTCTAAACAAAAATGGGTTAAAGATATGATTTTTTATGTAAGGGTTTACTGTACAGAAATCTGACCATTTGGAACTCCGAAAATTGTTTGTATGTTTTGGGTTTTTTTTTTGAAGCTGAATTTTGGATATGTTGTTGTAGACTTCTTGAGGAGTACTTAGAAATTTATTTCACTTAAAAACTCGAAGGATTGAATTTTATATGGATTTTTGAAGTTGCCTTGTGAATTTTGGAATTTTCATTTTCTGCAGAACATGTATTTTTGGAAAATGATTTGATGCATATATTCTTATCCAAATTAAGTGATTTTAAATTCGGGTGAATCCTATATGTGTCTAGTTTAATTCTGGAGAGTTTAATGAGGTTTGGATTAAGGGCTGGATTGTTATGAATTTTTCAAGTCAGTAACCTCAATTCTGGAAACAGGGGACAGATTTGAATGAGTTGAAAGAAAATTGTGTTTTAAATTGTTATTGATTCCGAAATGACTTGAGGAAATTATGGGAACAACTTATGTGTCTCTAGAACGCCCTGTTAAAACTATGGCTTAAAATGATAAATGGAATTTTTAAGAAAAATCTTAGAGCGACCAATGTTCGATTATGAGACAGTTTTGTTAAAGAAGAAGTTATGTTAACCTTTTGGTGTGTAAAGTGTCCAATGATTTTTAATATTGAGGTGTTACCTTATGGGGACTTATGTATGGAGGATTTGTTGGATTTTGTATATAGGGAGGCAAGCGGGGGCATTATTAGAAGATTTCAATCATTTTTCGGCTTAAGGGTCGAGCTTCAAATTGTGAGTGGTTTTAATAAAAACTTTCCTTAAAAATTTCAGATCTATGCTTGCATGTTAATTTCTAGTATGCCATTTTTGTATTTTGATGAGGTTTGAGCTAAATGTGAAGCTTGCTTGGTTTATTTTTTCTTTGCATGTTTTCGGACAGATTCTAGAGTGGTTGTTTTGAGTTTTAAAATGGAATGAACTTTGCTTGCTAATTAAACTTGCATGCATTTGGCTGTTTCAATAAACTGTGATGGTGGCTGGATATTTTGGGTTGCATGCACTCGGCTGGACTGCTTTTGAGAGGTGCTTGAGTTATGTATTTGGACTAAAAGTTGGTTGGTTAAATACACTTGCATGCTTCGAGTTGGACCGTCTTTGAGAAAATTGATTTCCATGGTGTTTTAAAATGCTGGGAGTTAAGGTATTTTGGCTGTTAAAATGTTAAAGAAAATACTGAGATTTGTGAGGTTAGTAATAATTTTCTCGGTAAAAAGGGAAAATGGGGTGCTTTTTGTCAGTTTTGAAAGTATATTTTAAAAAAAAAACTTGCATTTTACCGCCTATTTTCCGAGAAATCTCATATGTTGGCATGTCTTATCCTTATAGGGAATATTCATATATTATTATTATTTTTGCTCTTGGGTTTAATTATAATTATAATGTATTACATTAGTTTTGACTTTTAAAAATGATATTTGTTTATGATTTATAAGCACATACGTAATATACTCTTGACTTACATGTTACTTGAGATTATGCATGAGATTGTTGTGGTGCTAAAACCACCCTATGAAGTACCCATCCCCCAGAGATACAGATTTTTGGCTCTGCCCGAGCGATGCAGGATTTCACCGGGTATGACAGTTTCAGATTTTGGCTCTACTCATGCGTATGACAGATTTTATTGGCTCTGCCTGAGCGTTGAGTGGTCCGCCAAGTATGACAGATTTTATTGGCTTTGCCTATGCGTTGAGTGGTCCGCCAAGTATGACAGTTTCAGTGAGTATGACAGTTTCAGTGGCTCTGCCCACGCGATGATAGATCTTGTCGGGTATGACAGGTATGTCCCTTGCTCTGCCTGCGCGTGGGACTCCCACCAGGTATGACAGATTTTCCCCAAGGTACTAGTTGGGTGAGAGTTTTCACATGTGATTGAGAGATGATTTGGATATGTACATATATGTATATCATCTATTTGAAAATGGGAACTTATAAATGTAAATGTTATCCGTATATGAACTGTTTCTTAGAAATGATGTTTTTAGAGAAACATGAGTATTTATTCGTTTACCATAATAGTGTTCAGAAAGAAGTCTTGCCATGAGAGATTTCAACATGTGTTATGAAAGATGACTTATATTATAAAATGTGTATACGGAAATGAAATTTTATAAGCATGAGTGTTTTTATTGTATATTGAAATCTTTTATTATATACTAACCCATTCCTCACTCACTGAGCATTTCTAGCTCACCCCTCATTTTCAAATGTTTTTCTTACCCCTCCCCCCCCTCCTCCCCCAGGGTCTAGAAGGTGATCATGTAGAGGAGTGAATTCTACTCAAGGTTGGGCCACACGACTTCATTTCACCATAGATTCTATAGTTGTATTTTGTTTTCCGCTGTAAAGTTTATGTTTCCTTCATCATGTATTTATTTCTTGTTTTGGATTATTAAAGATATGGAAAAAAATTCTGATATCATACATTTTATTTTGTGAAAATTTTAATTACATTTGTTTATATGCAAATGACGTCACATTTTTATGATGTTTTATTTATAAATGGGTTTTATAGTTTTCTCACATGGCACGTCTCGATCACCTGAGTTTCATGGGTGCGTCCGGAGCTATGGGATAAGGAGGGTCGGGACGGGTCGTGTCATGTCAAATGCCAGTTGAAAAAGTGAAATGTATTTTAAGTATTAACGGAATATAAATTATGGGTGGGAAAGTAGTATTTTTAAACTTTTTGGATGGAAAAGTATCGTTAAGGCAATCCTTGGGTGAGAAAAAGTCATTTACTCAGAAAAAATTATAATGATAACATGATGATTAAGTTAGAATAAAAATTAAAACTTATAGGAAATTGGATACCTACCTTCAATAAATTAAGCAAGAGGGTAGACGCAGTCAAGAATGCATATAGATACAGTATGGAAACAGTAAGAGAAAACTTAAAGAGATTGGGACAAACACAATATAAATCTAAGTTTGGATCATTGCTAAGGCTATACTGTACTTGTTGCGAGTTTTCTTTCTTTTTGTTGTTATTCAAAGCAACAAATACATATGGATATGCATATGTAGTGTTGAATATTGTGAAGCCAATTTCATATGGCATCTCCCAAATTTTGACAAAGATTAAACGACGGTGCAGTAACGATGTAAGTTAGCATGTGATTAATAAATGAATATCATTGCAATCACAAATCGTAGGACGGCCGCTGCTAGATATTAATATTGCAGTAAGTTCATTCAAATCTCCTAAAGTTTTAATTGATTTAAAGGCCGCCCATAAACACCAATAGCATTTTGGGGAAGTATTTTTTCAAACAAAACTTCTTTGAACTATATTGTACCTACCGTCAGTAGCCCCCAACTTTAATTATGGATACATAAATGGAGAATTGAATCTAAGATCGTGTATTTATCTATTCTTCAATGCACCTTAACCATTTGAATAACCCATGGATATAACATGATAATAAAATCGATGAAGTTTACTTAATTGATTCTTCTTAAATTGCATTGATTTATACTAAAATAATTCATTATAATTATTGGAATTCTCGGTTTAGATGTAAATAGTTAAAGCGACCACCTCATAATTGACGAATTTGCAGGACAACGCTGATCTTAATTATTATTTTAATACATTAATTAATTATGATTCGAATTGAGGCTATTTAAACCCAAAATACATGTATTATCTTCAAGTATATCTCTTTTGATTTCATGGCATCAACAAACTCAGTGAAAATCCAAGAAGTGACTAAAGTCATTCCACACTCCGACTCAACCACCGAGTTCTCTCTCCCACTCACCTTCTTTGACATATTTTGGTTCAAGTTCCATCCTGTGGAGCGTCTCTTCTTCTATCAAATAACTCACTTAACGCCTCAGTTTTTCAACTCAGTTATCCTCCCCCAGCTCAAGCAATCTCTCTCTATAACTGTTCTCCATTATCTCCCTCTTGCTGGTAACCTCATGTGGCCTCAAGACACCCCAAAACCAGCCATCTACTACTTCCAAAACGACGGTGTTTCACTCACTGTTGCAGAGTCTAACGCCGACTTCAATTACCTGTCAGGCCATGGAACTCGTGAAGTTGTTGAATTTCATTCTTTGATACCCGACTTGTCAATATCTGATGACAAAGCAGCAGTCATCGCTATCCAAATAACGTTGTTTCCCAATGAAGGGTTCTCCATCGGCACCTCCGCTCATCATGCAATACTTGATGGGAGAAGTTCAACCATGTTTATGAAGTCTTGGGCTTATGTTTGCAAACAAGATAAAGAAGACCCTTCATTGTCACCAGAACTAACTCCATTAATCGACAGGAGTGTCATCCAATACCCAACAGGAATTGACATGTTGTTCTTGAATAGCTGGTTAGATTCCAACTCCCGAAGCTTAAAGCTTTTACCAAGGGAAGGAGTGGATTCCAATTTAGTTCGAGCCACGTTTGAGTTGAGCCGTGAAGATATCAAGAAGCTAAGGGTTGAGGTACAAGAAGTAAAGCAGTCAGAACAACTTCATTTATCAACTTTTGTGTTAACATACGCTTATGTAATCGTTTGCATAACGAGAGCCAAAGGAGAAGAAGAAGGTAAAAATCCTAATTCAAAGGTTATATTTGGATTCACAGCTGATTACAGGACCCGTTTAGAGCCTCCAATTCCAGTCAACTACTTCGGTAATTGTGTTGGTCCACATGGAGGGATAGTAGAAGCCAACGATATAATAAAGGGAGATGGGGTTTCAGTTGTTGCAGAGAAGTTAAGTGAGTCGATGAAAGAGTTAAAGAAGGGGTCAGTTCTTGAAGAAACAGGGAAGAAGCTTGCATATATGATTCCATTTATGAAACAGGGGGGAAAAGGAATTGGGATTGCCGGGTCGCCCAGGTTTGAAATTTATGGGTCGGATTTCGGGTGGGGCAGGCCAAAGAAGGTGGAGGTTGTGTCAATAGATAAAAATGGGTCTATTTGTATGGCGGAGAGTAGAAATGGAAGCGGTGGTGTTGAGGTTGGAGTAGTTTTGGAGAAGAAAGAAATGGAGGTTTTTGCTTCCCTATTTGTTGATGGGCTAAAACATTTTAAATAAATAATGCTACAATACATACATCAGCCGGCTTTCTATTTATTGTAAATGTTGATATTACGTTCAAGAATTGTATTGATACAGCAATAATTCAATAAATGAAAGGACTGGCTTCTTTTAAGTATGCAAATTGAAATAATAGTCGGCAATCCTTTTGGTAGACATTTATGTTTGTCATTTACACGAGAGTAAATAACTTTTTTTTTTTTTCACTCAACTAATGGTTTAATGACACTTTTTTATCATAGATTTTTAAAATACTATTTTAATTATTATCTAAATTTATACTTTATTTTTGTTTTCGACATCGTTACGATCTCATTCCACCACCATTATCTTCCCCAGTCATCATTCACTAAAATCCCTCAAACCTCACTTTTGTCGATTCTGCCAATCGTCGGCAATCGAGCAATTAAGGTTGATAGAACTACCATTTCCAAGTCAAATTCGATCAATCACAACTACTAAAATCTAATATTTTACCACTAAAAGACTTATCGGTCTTTTCTCTTGAAAAACCCTAATAGTCTGAACCAAATTTGCTCTCTATTCGTTATCGGAATATAAATTTAAATGATAAAGTGATATTTTAAAAGTCGGTAAGTGAAAAAATGTCATTAAGCTATTCTTTGGGTGGAAAAAAAGTCATTAACTCTTTACATTGTCAAAAAAACAAGCTCAATTAGTCAATTCTACTTGGGATGAATCTGTTTACTTTTTCCAGTCTGATCTCTTTTTTTCTGTTTTGCTACTCGGTAGCTAGGAATTGGACCGTCAATATATATAATAATACTTTGTCTATCTTGCTCATCATGCAACTATATTTTAATGAACCTATATACTACACGTCAAACCTGTTATTATTTATTATTATTATTATCATCTTCATCTTCATCTTCACCTTCATCTTCATCCTCCTCTTCATGTGTGAGTATCTTCATGTGTGAGTGTACACATGTCATGACAAAATAGACCGATGAAAATAAGAGTTAACGACTTTTTTCCAACCAAATAATAAATTAATGACAATTTTTTCACTTACGAACTTCTAAAATATTATTATATTATTTAAATTTATATTTAAATAATAAATAGAAAGTAAAATCGATTCAGATTATTGGAGTTTTTGAAAAGAAGAGGTTGATGAATCTTTTGATGGTAAAAAGTTAAATTTTGATAGTTAGGATCGATCAAAATTTGACTTGAGAGGGATAATTATGCAATCCCTAATCACTCACTTGTAGGCTATTGGTAGGATCGACGAAAATAGGGTTTAAGGGGTTTTGGTGAGAGAGAAAAAATGGTGATGATGTGGATCATAAATATGTTAGAATCAAAACTGAAATATAAATTTAAGTAATAAACTGATATTTTAAAAGTTTGTGGAAAAAAAGTGCGAGTAAACTATTATTTGAGTGGGAAAAAGTGGTTTACTCATGAAAATAATATACATATTTTTTCTTCAATATGGACTAGCTTCGCTTCTCATAATTCAACCTCCCTAATTATAATATAACAATAATACTAGATGTACAAAGAAATCTAACTAAAATTTATATATAAAGTGATATAACAAGAAATAAATGGAAGAATAAGTATGATAAGTTTGATTTTTTATGTTCACTTTTTCATTTATTTTTTATTACATCACTTTATAAATAAATCTTTCTTGCTACATCACTTTAAATAAATCTTCGTAAGATTTTTTTATATACAGTGTCATTACTCATAATATAAAGATTATGTGGGCGAGCATAATCAGTGTGGCATCGACTTTGAAAGTTTCGTTAAATATAAAAACAACAAATAAGAAAAGTAAAACCAATCGACTTTTGGTTCCTTTTTTGAGAGTTGTTGTGGGTTTAGAGATATATTACCGACTCATTAAGAAGCACGAACTACATCTTGCTTAATTAATTCCGGCTTTCATGGCGTTATTTAACACCCATGAGGTTACCCGAGTTACTCCTTTCTCCGACTCAACCACCGAGTTTTCTCTCCCGCTAACATTATACGATACGTTTTGGTTCAATTTTCCTCCTGTTGAGCGCCTTTACTTCTATCAGATCACTGACTTGACACCTCATTTCTTCTACTCATTTATCGTCCCAGACCTCAAACACTCTCTTTCTCTCACTCTCCTCCATTATCTTCCTCTTGCCGGTAACCTAATCTGGCCCCTAGATGCCCCAAAGCCTTTCATCTACTACTCTCCAAACGATGGCGTTACGTTCACTGTTGCAGAATCTACCTGCCGACTTCATTCGCTTACTGATAACGGAGTTCATGAGGCTGTGGGCCCATCCTTTGATCCCTCATTGGTGACATCTGATGACAAACACGATGATCGCTATACAAAACTTTGTTTCCGAATCAAGGGTTCTCCATCGCTTTAACAAGTCACCATGCCATACTTGATGGAAAAGCTCAACCATGTTTATCAAGTCTTGGGCTTGTTTATGCAAACATTAGTAAAGATGGAGAGCCTTCTTTGTTACCAGAACTAACCCCGTCTTTTGACCGAACTGTCATCAAAGATCCCACTGGTATTGACATGGAGTATGTGAACAACTGGTTCGCTTATACCACACCACGAAGCTTGAAGGTTTTGCCAAACGTAGTGCAGAACACCGATTGGGTTCGAGCCACATTTGAGTTGACCCGTGATGATATTCAGAAAATGGAATCAGGTATTGCTTATGCTGATAAGGACAATGAAAAAGAAGACAAACAACCACGGCAAGTTCATTCATCAACTTTTGTGCTTACATTGGCATATGTATTCGTCTGTTTGGTAAAAGCTAGAAGAGGGCCGATAACGGAAGGGTTGTTTTCGGATTCACAGCAGATTTAGGACCCGTTTAGAGCCTCCAGTTCCGTTGAATTATGTTGGCAACTGCGTTATGTCACATTTTTGCGCTGCAACAGCAAGAGATTTCACAGAAGAAAGAGTCGCCTTTGTCGCAAAGAAGTTAACGATGTGAAGGAATAGAGAGGGGAGAATTTGAGGGGAAAAAAGATGCACTTTCAGAAATCTTGAGATTGATAAAATCCTGTCTGAAGGAGTGCAGGCCTTGGGGTAGCAGGGTCGACCCAGTTTGACGTTTACGGTCCGATTTCAGGTGGGGGAGACCGAAGAAGGTAGAGATTGTGTCCATAGATAAGAGTGGAGCTATTGCTTTGACCAAGAGTAGAGACAAAGCGGCGGTGTTGAGATCGGTGTCGTTTTGAAGAAGCAAGAAATGGAAGTTGCTTCTCTGTTTGTTGACGGGCTAAAAGATTGACCAAGACAAATAAACATCAGCATCTTTTTATTGAATTTTACTCATTTGTATTTGTTTTCTTGATTGCTCGATAAATTGCCCGTCATGAAAATAATTATATATTTCTAAAATAAGATGTTTGTATTGTAATTGGCCTCTTCTGTTTGTCATCTCTCCGTTGTACTCATGTTTTCTGTATTTTATTAGAAAAATAAATTTATTATATTCTTAGCGTTACACTAAGGTCAGCAATTACATCATCTTTTTTTTTTAATTAAACTTTTAACTAATCTCTTAAAATCTTAAAATTACAATTACATCATTGTAAATTTATTTAAGTGATAATTTAATGTTTTAATAAAAATTCTTAAATTTAATTGGTTTTTTTTGATTCTTTAAAGATCTTATTGGTGCATCTTATAATATGACATTTCTAATAAGAAAATTCCCAGATTTTTCGGTTACTTTCTTACTTTTTGATAAATTTTTACTTAGTCAATTCATTACGAGTTGATCACGCTTAATATTATTTTTCTTGTCTGCGCAGTTGAATTTGAACAAAAAAATCTACTGGATGAAAAAGTTGAACCGAATAAAAATGTCAACAAAGAGGTGAATAATATAATTCTATATGCTGTCTTTGAAAATTTACTGGCTTTCTCCCCACCCAACCTTTATATATTATAATAATGGTAAACAACTCAATCAAGTTTTTTTTCTTTTTCTTTTACTTTTTCGCATTCGGCTGTTTGATCATTCAAACAAATTTTATAACATTAACAAATAAGTCACATGTACGAAGACTCCAAGAGTCTTAGAGTAGTGTTATCCGATCAATTTAACGCCTTGTTGTTTGTTTGTGTTTCAGTGTCTCTCTGTCTTCGAGATAGCGTAGTTTCCAAGATCCAGTCCCCATAAAATTACATCATCATGAAGATTCAAGATTGCATCTAGAATTGCGGAAATTAATGTCTCCAATGCCGATATTTAAACCATTAATGTTCAAAGCCAAAAAAAAAGAAAAGAAAAAAAACTAAAATAAGAACGATCATACATATAAAAATACAAGCAACTCTTTGCTAATTTGCATCTCCCTTTCATTAATTTCATGGCATCAACCAATAAAGTTATCATTAAAATACATGAAGTGACGAAAGTCACTCCTTCCTCCGCCTCCGCCGCCGAGTTTTCTCTTCGGCTTACCTTATACGACACAATCTGGTTCAAGTTTCCTCCTGTTGAACGCCTTTTCTTTTATCAAATTACTGACTTAACCCCTCATTTCTTCAACTCAGTGATCCTCCCCAAGCTCAAGCAATCTCTCTCTCTCACTCTCACCCATTATCTTCCTCTCGCTGGTAATCTCATCTGGCCCCATGATGCCCCAAAACCATTTATTTACTACTCCTTAAACGATGGCGTTTCTGTCACAGTGGCTGAGTCCAGCGCCGACTTCACTCACCTCTCAGGAAATGGAGTTCGTGACGCTATTGCGCTTCATCCTTTAACTCCTGAATTGGTGACATCTGATGAAAAAGCAGCGATAATTTCTATACAAATAACTATGTTTCCGAATCAAGGTTTCTGCATCGGCATATCATCTCACCATGCAATACTTGATGGCCGAAGTACAACTATGTTTTTCAAGTCTTGGGCTTATCTATGCAAACAATTAGATAAACATCAAGAAGAAGAAGAACCTTCTTTGTTGCCGGAACTAATCCCTTCTTTTGACCGAACCGTCATCAAAGATCCAACCGGGA